GGGCAGAGGAGGGCGGAAAGCGGGGGGATGAGAGGGGGACAGATCTGCGGGTGTCGGGTGAGGGCGGAAAGCGGGGGCAGGGGGCGGGCGCCCATCAGTGGCGGATCTCTGGCCATTGGTCTCTCGCGAGCCAGCCAGCCGGCCCGCCCGCCCGCCCGCCCAGGCCCCAGCTCATGCCCAGGGTGCGGGAGGGGAAGGCACCGCAGGAAGATCGCTCCCGCGCGCCCTGCCGGCCGGGAGTGGTGGGCGAGGTCCCCCCGCTTGTCCACCGTGCGGGCCCGGCTCCAGCGCGGAGATCCTAGAACCCCGGTACTCGGGGCCGTCGCGCCTTTAGATCGTAAATTGGGATTCCGCGCTTAATTCACACGCCGGGTGGCAGTTCGCCCGAGCCATATGTTACGGGCCAATATTATTGGCTAGGTTATCCCCGTTCCTTGCGGTTAGCCCAGCAGTGGTGGCCAATCCCCTGCGGGGATGGAAAAAAGCCCACACCCAAGCGCGTTAGCACCCCTGCGGAGGCCATCGCCGCTCGCCCTCCCGGAAAGAGACCGAGGGCCCTACTTCCTCCGGGGGGCAAGCCCACAGGCTGTTCCCTGCGGCGCGGGGCCGGAGAGGTGCCAATCGTTGCGCAATCCAGGCTAGTGTCTCCCAAAGAGCGGCCCTCGTTCTCTTCCCGTGCCGGCCCCCGGTGCGCAGCGCCAATGTGTGCCCGCCAGGTGTTGTCCCCCCCCCCCCCGACGAGACGCCGCGCCGGCGAGGGGGGTCGGCCATATTTCCGTCGGGGCCGGTGCGCAGGGAGTCCCAGAGCCCAGGGGGGGGGGGGGGGGGCCGAGTTGTGTTCGTTGGACGGGCGGGGGGCACCCCTCCTCTAGCGCGCCCGGAACAGCGTCTCTCATCTTGGGAGGGGGGCAAGGTGCGTGGGTGGGTGGTGCGTTGCGGCGTGACCCCCGGAGGGGGGTGTTGCGTCCGCACGGAAGCGCTCTCTCCCCCGTGTTCCTCCTGGGCAGGGGGGAGAGTGGGTTGCGGGGGGGGGGGGGCGCGGACCCCGGCGGTGTGTCTCCCAGCCGCTGCCTGTGGGTGCGGGGGAGGGGCGGGGCGGGGAGCCGCCCGGGGTATATATATGTATTTTGGGCCCCAGGGTGGCGGCCGCATAGCCGCATGCCTGGGTCCCAAACAATATCTCAAATTCGTTTGAGATTTTTTCATCGTTGGTGGTTCGTGTGCCCTTCCTCCATTTTTTTGTCCTCCTGCCCCTCGCCCCCCCCCTGTCATTCGGATGCACCCTCCGGAAACGCACATCCGACCGACTCGCCACGCCGCCGCCGCCGCCGCCGCCTGACACCTCATCCCTCCCCCACCTCTCTCTCGTTCCCTCCCCGCCTCTCTGTTTCGCCCCCCCCCCCGGCCCCGCCCCGACAGTCTTTAAATCCTTAGAGTACCCTCGATCACAGACAAGATGTCGAAGGGAGACGCCAAGGCCAAGAAGGCCATCTATTTCGAGAAGCTCCACAGCCTGCTCGTCAACTACCCGAAGATCTTCATCGTGGAGGCGGACAATGTCGGCTCTCAGCAGATGCACCTGACCCGTCAGTCCCTCCGTGGTGAGGCTGAGATTCTCATGGGTAAGAACACCATGGTCCGCAAGATCATCCGTGAGGCTGTCGACAACAACCCCGACCTGGAGCGCCTGCTGCCGCACATCAACGGCAACATCGGCTTCGTCTTCACCAAGGGCGACCTGAAGGACGTCCGTGCCAAGATCATGGCCCAGCGTGTTGCTGCCCCCGCCCGTGCCGGTGCCATCGCCCAGCAGGACATTTGCCTCGAGCCGCACAACACCGGCCAGGGTCCCGAGAAGACCTCTTTCTTCCAGGCCCTGCGCATCAACACCAAGATTACTCGTGGTACCATTGAGATTCTGAACAAGGTCACCCTTATCGCTGAGGGCGAGAAGGTCGGCCCCTCTGAGGCTGCTCTCCTCAACATGCTTGGCATGTCCCCCTTCACCTACGGTCTGACCGTGCGCACCATCTACGACTCCGGTGCCATGTTCTCCCCGGAGATCCTCGACATCGACGAGGACGTCCTCCTCGGCCACATCCGTGCCGGTATCGCCAACGTCGCTGCCGTTTCTCTGGCCGTCGGTGTGCCCACCAAGGCCTCCGTCACCCACTCCATGGTCAACGGTTTCAAGAACCTGCTCGGTGTTGCCGCCGCCACCGACCTGTCCTTCCCCGCCGCCGAGAAGATCAAGGAGTACCTTGCCGACCCGTCCAAGTTCGCCGTCGCCGCCGCCCCCGTTGCCGCTGCCGCTGCCCCCGCCGCCGCTGCCGCCGCCCCGGTCGAGGAGTCCGACGAGTCCGACGACGATATGGGCTTCGGTCTCTTCGACTAAGCGCGCATCCTCCGCCCTCGGGCCGTGTGTGTCGCGGCTTCGCGCCTTGCCGCCGCTCCTCTCCTCCGTCTCGCCTCCTCCACCTCCCTCCTGCCGCGTGCCCTGCTATTTTGCTGGGCCGCGCATGTGTGCGTGTGTGGTGTGCCGGCGATCGCGGGGGGGCCGGAGCGAGGGATGGCCAATGTCGTCGCCCGGCGGCCCGTGTGGGTGCCCTTACACGCGCGCGCCCGCCTGATGATGGCGTGTGTGCTGTGCGTGGTCGATCGAGAAAGAATCACAAAGCGGCGCCCGGGGTTCTGCTGCTGCTGCGTCTGTGTGCCCCCCCCCCTCCTTCGGAAGGGGCAGGGGCCCGGTGCCGCTGCCGTTGTCCTCCTGTGCACGCTGGCCTTCTGAGTCACTTGCGACACATCAATACAGTTCCCGGATTGTAGCCGTAATTTGCCTTGTCTCTGTCGCCCCCCTCCTCCTCTCGCGCGCGCGCCGCGCCGCCGCTCTTTCCCCTGTGGGGCAACAAGCTGGCAGCGGGGCGGGTCTTTCCCCTTGTGTGTGTGTGTGTGTGCGCGGAGGGAGGCAGGGTTTGCGCACATGTGTGTTGGCACACGCCTCGGCGGCGACGGGCGTGTGTGTGTGTGTGTGTGTGTGTGGGCCCATCATCTGCTCCCCGGCGTGGTTGGGCGGGCCGGGTTGTGCACACCCGTGTGGGGGCGCGCGGAACAGGGCGGCTGGACGAGCATATGCCATGTACTGCGCATGTGGTGGGTGCGGCACAACTGACGGCGCCGGGCACCCCCCCTCTGTGTTCCGACCGACGCGCGACATATTACCCGCAAACTTCGGGGCGTCCTCCCGTTCTCCTCCTCCCCGCGGGGTTCCGATCAACCAGATCCCAATATCACATGGTATATCCCCAAAAAGATCACGCGGAACACACCACATCACCGCCATGCAATCCATCATGCCGCGCACCCTTTTTTTTTTCCACCTTTCTGCCCTCGTCCGCGCGCCCACCCGGGGGAGGAGAGGCGGCGCGGTGCGTGTGCGGGCGGGGGGGGGGGGGCGTCCCGAGTGCATCGCCCCCCTCC